GAGAGTCGCATCAATGCGCAAATCAACGGGCAAGGAAGGGGTCCCATTTCTCGGGTTTCGGGCCGTTTCAAATGGTTTCTTCTTCATCCCTGCTCCACTGACCTCTACCCTTATTTCCAATGAGCTAATTTTCCATCGTAAATTCTGCCTTAGGGCGGAAGTGGTGTAGTGGCAAGTGGCACGCTTACCACGCGAGCGGTCCGGGGATCAAATCCTGGGTCGTGAGTCGCCCGGGCCAACCAAGCCTTCCATCCCTCCGGGGTCGGTTAATTGGTACCAGACTTGTCTGGGAGGATAAAAACACTGACTTGTACATCGGCCCCGCAAGTCATTGTATAGGCCACATCGCATTCAAACGCCACTACGAATGTACAAATGGAAGTAGAATGCGTGCCGCATCCCAAAAAGGGATTGATCAACGGCAAATGCTTTATCCTTTATATTTAAATTCTGCCTTCAAGGAACCCCCGCTCATGTTAAATTTGAAGCCCATTAGATTCACTCAGGTACTGAGGAATGAACAGGACCGGTTATAATGTAGCGGACAGCAGCGCCAGCATGGTGGCCAGGTGCAACCACAGGAAAGCAGAAGTCATTCTCAAGCCCAGCGATATAATTTAGTGACGGTGATAAGGGAAGCATAAGTTCCATTGCAAGAGCTGCAACAACTATGGAGCGACCCTATATTTTGACAAAGGATTACACAACACAAGGTAAGTGCCACGGTACAAAGAACTCTTCACCATGAAGCAACGTACTTCAGGAACAGCTGTGGGCCACTCTCAACACGAAAAGCATGGGCTTGCGTTGCCTAGATCTCTATCAAATTTTTCGAAATATTCAAAAAAAAAAACTTTCCATTCAACGTTGGAGAGTAGGGGCTGTGGTCACCTTCACGCAAAAAGTTTATAAACTATTACTGTTGAAGCATTGAGCATGGATTCACTATTATTGTTGAAATCAAAGGAGCTGCGTAGTTGGCGCGACTGCTGAGATCGGAGTATTCATGAGCTATATTCAAAGATAATGGTAAATGCCTACGCGTTCACGGTGAAAAATGCTCAAGGATAATTTCTTGGAGAGTAGAAGAAAAGAGAAAAGAGAGAAAAGGCAAGACTTACATGGCAATTGCCAAACCAGAGCAATTCCTCATACGGATCGAAACATAGGGCTGTTACCGGAGCTGGATTCAGAGCATTCGTTTCGATGGTAGATGCATAAATGAACGATCCATTCCCCTGTGGCCACTAGAATGCAAAATTACAAAATTACCACGCCAGCCTTGAAAATATACAAGAATGTTTGTTTTGTTATTCGTTTATTTCTATACCTCATCGTTCGATCCCGTGCCGACAAGGGCAGAGTTTTCCATTCCCAGATGATCCGTGCGTGATTCAATGGCTTTGTGTTAGCTGATCATCGAAACCTACATTAGAAATTCGTTAAATCGCGTTTCACCCACTATGTCGGCTCCACAAACCTACCTGGATGTAGCCCAGGAGTCAAGGTAGGTCATCCGACACCTTTGTACCTAGAAAGTGAGAAGCTTTCAGTGTGCGATCACGTCAAATTCCGAGTCTGTGAAATCGTGTCCATACCCAACACGTTCGAAGATTGGGAGATTAGGCCAAAGAGATTGTATGCGAACTGATTGCAAGGATAGCAGAAAAGGACTCCCCAGTCGAACCAATCAATATAATCAATATGTACGACTTTCTCAACGGGATCTCCTGGGGCCGTAAGGTATGCTTCCCGAACAGGAGAGGGACCCCTCCCTGGTAAGGTATGCTCTCCCCGAAAACACTCGGGGAAAGGCATGCCACCGGTTCTCGGGGATGCCTCCTGGGCTGTAAGGTAAGCTTCCCCGAATGGTTGGAAGACAAAAATCCCTTTAGGTTTTTTTTTGTTCGAACCGAACGTGAAAGCCTAAAGCGTCAGGAAGCTGTTGATGGAATACATGAAAAGACGTAGTCAATACAGCTGTGTAGTCCCCATACGGCTCTAGAGCGGAAATTACGAAAGCAACAGCTTCAAAGCGTGGTCTTAAAGCCACCACAAAGCCCAAAAACTACTTGACCGTGGCAGCGAGAACTAGTTTTAAAGAGAGTAAGCAGTCTGATCCTTTCAGGGTCTTAGTTAGTATGATGACGATTTTAGGCGCGGGGCAAAATAATCGAGATGCAGCTTTTAAGCACCCTACCTTAAACCCAAAAATCCGCGCCTTTCCAGAAACAAACAAGTAGACAAGCATAGTTTCATGCGCAGCCTCCTGTGCGTTATTTTCCCTCGAAACATAATTTTTCGCATTGTGGACTTTACTGTATTTGACGAGGCGCAATGCGGTGGTGCACTCAAGACTTCCAGATTTACGACGAATATTCCACTTTTCACGAACATATTCTGTCTCAACTCACTCATGGTACCACGAAAATTTGTATGACATGAAAACTGTTGGAAAAACAACGAATAATGGCTCAAACTGTAAAAAATACAAGAAAATCGAACCCCCTCGTGATTAACAGAAAACAAGGGAAAATCTGAGCACATGCAAGCAATCGAAGCTCGCAAACATAACGAAGCTCATTTTTTGATGAATAAATCCTATATCTTGACAGAAAATCTGCGAAAAAAAAAAGGCCAGACAATCGATCTTGCGCTCACAGTTCGTCCAAGGCAAGCAGCTGTGCGCTCCCGCGTTTCACATTTGAAAATTCAGGGTCTAAACTACGGTAGTTAGTGTCTGCTGTGCCGGTACCGAACGACCTGCATTTTAGGCCACATCATTTTGTGAGGTGGCGGTCATCTTTCGGCTCTCTTTTGCCTATGTCACTTATGTTTTTCCCAGCTAGTTTCTGTCTTATCATTTTTTCAGGAGTTCATTGTTTTTGTAGGGTTTTTATGTTGCCTCGACATTTTATTGCTGGTTTTTGCATATGATTTAGTATGAGTGGTAGCTATTTCGCAATATCTTCTAGTGCTCTCTTTTCGAAATCCGCTGACAAACCAACCGTCCCATCGTTTCGTGATACACTTCAAGTGCATAGAAGTCCTTGACTGTTTGTCTTTCAGTTGGGATCCAGTACCGCTCTGCAGCTATGGGCAAGGAAAAGACGCATATAAACATTGTCGTCATCGGACACGTCGACTCCGGTAAATCGACCACCACTGGACATTTGATTTACAAATGTGGTGGTATCGATAAGCGTACGATCGAGAAGTTCGAGAAGGAAGCTCAGGAAATGGGCAAAGGTTCCTTCAAGTACGCATGGGTGCTCGACAAACTGAAGGCCGAGCGTGAACGTGGTATCACGATCGATATCGCCCTATGGAAGTTCGAGACGGCAAAGTTCTACATCACCATCATTGATGCGCCTGGACATCGTGATTTCATCAAGAACATGATCACTGGTGGGTTTTAAGTCTAGGGGCTGTGGTGGCCGACTGAGCGCTCATGTCGTTAGGGGGGCCATTGAAGTAGCTGAGCCACAATAAGAACTTGGGAATAAGCCTTAGGGAGGGGAAGGGATTCTGGGGGAGGCCATGAGCAACCTTTGTTCTTTTTGGCGTTTCTCCCTCTCCTAGGCTTAGTCCTAGTGTCATCAACCACCGGTTTTTGAATGCCCTGTTTTGCATGTCCCCCCTAAGTACATGAGCGTCGGCCAACTGTTTTAGCACGGTCCAGGTTGATATTTATTCACCATATACTTTTGTAGTTTCCCCAACTTCACATCTTCGAATGTGTCCAAGAAGTATTCGAATGTGGTATTTCAGGTACATCTCAGGCCGATTGCGCAGTACTTGTGGTGGCTTGCGGTACTGGAGAGTTCGAGGCCGGTATTTCGAAGAACGGACAGACTCGTGAGCATGCACTGCTTGCTCAGACTCTTGGTGTAAAGCAACTTATCGTTGCTTGCAACAAGATGGACTCGACCGAGCCACCGTTCTCCGAGTCTCGTTTCACTGAGATCACCACCGAAGTCTCGAACTTCATCAAGAAGATCGGATACAACCCTAAGGCTGTAGCCTTCGTACCAATTTCCGGATTCAACGGTGACAACATGCTTGAGCCGTCGCCAAACATGCCATGGTTCAAGGGATGGGCTGTGGAGCGCAAGGAGGGTAATGCCACTGGTAAGACCCTGCTCGAGGCTCTCGATTCCATTGTGCCCCCACAGAGGCCCACTGACAGGCCACTTCGTCTGCCCCTGCAGGACGTGTACAAGATCGGAGGTAGGTGTATGGTTTCTGTCCTTCTCAAATGTTGTATGTAAATATTTTCTTGCAGGTATCGGTACCGTTCCCGTCGGACGTGTTGAGACTGGAATCATCAAGCCGGGCATGGTTGTCACCTTCGCCCCCCAGAACGTTACCACTGAGGTGAAATCTGTTGAAATGCATCACGAGTCGCTGCCAGAGGCTGGACCCGGAGACAACGTTGGTTTCAACGTAAAGAACGTGTCCGTCAAGGACATCCGTCGTGGATCCGTCTGCTCTGACTCGAAGAACGATCCTGCCAAGGAGGCTCGCTCGTTCAACGCTCAGGTTTGTCCTTAAATCGAATAGCAATGTATCTGGTCGTTAACGCCATTTGCAGCTATTTTATTGGTTTCCAGGTCATCATCATGAACCATCCCGGACAGATCGCTGCTGGATACACTCCAGTGCTCGATTGCCACACAGCGCATATTGCGTGCAAGTTCAACGAGCTGAAGGAGAAGGTATGTGCTCTTAAATTGTGTCCAGACGTTTTCGAACATGATATAATTCTGGGTTACAGGTCGATCGCCGTACCGGTAAGAAGGTCGAGGACAACCCGAAATTCCTCAAGTCCGGAGATGCTGGAATCGTCGAATTGATCCCCACAAAGCCACTTTGTGTGGAATCCTTCACGGACTACGCACCACTTGGACGTTTCGCCGTACGTGATATGAGGCAAACGGTCGCTGTCGGTGTCATCAAGTCCGTAGACAAGACTGAGGCTGCTGGCAAGGTCACGAAGGCTGCCCAGAAAGCTGGAGTCGGAGCCAAGAAGAAATAACAAGCACGATTCTTTTGTTTGTTGATTTATAAATTATGTATATTGTTCTTCCGCTTAAATCTTGTGGTTCTTCGTGATATTTTTTTGAACTGTAGCAGAAGCATGGAACAGAGGTGGAGATGTGGATCCATGTAAGATCAGATTGGTAGATTGGGCAATTTTTAGTGTAAATGATCGTTGTACTTCGCGTCTTGGTCGTGATCGATGTTGTCTGGAATGGGTGGCGTCAGGTGCACTGTTAGGCCACGCCCAAATATCACAGCGACAATGGGGTGCGGGATGACGTGGCCTGGGTTTCTAGATGCACTTTTGTCCTTGGACGCGGATATGCGGTGAGGCGGGAATCAGAGAAGAGAGAGGTGTGGGAGAGCCAAAATTCGGGACGTATTAGTTCAAATAATCGATAGAAAAAACATCGTACTAACCAAAAAAATTGAGCTTGAATATTTTATCAATAACAGTTAACAATTTGATAACATGCAAGAATACAATATTCAGAAATTATACAAAGGAATGACACAGGGTAAGAAGTCGAGGTAGGCACTTACGCAAAGGCAGAGATCAACAAGTCACCGGCGTTGAAGAGGTTTTCTAACGGCAGAGAGGGGACCACTAGATGAACGGACCCCATCCAATGTACATCTGGGCGAGATTCTTCTCATCACTGGCAATGTCGATCAACTTTGCCACTTGCCCTTCGAGACTCATTGGAGCACACGAAAATTTGTGCTTATACACCTGAAAAGTCGTCATTCCACAACTTTGAAGTGAATAAATCAATTCGAATTTGAAAGGCTAATATTTCACAGGGCCAAAGAATATCGAGATTTGGAGTAACTGTTGTTGATTCAGCCTTTTCCAAGTCTCTAATAGTAGCAGACTGCCTTGAAAAATTATAACAGTGACTTTGACATGAGTTGGTCAGCGGGATTTACTGCATATATCGGGTACGCATTCAAATGCTGCTACGAGTTTGAGTTGAAATGGGACGCGTGGCGCATCCGCAGAAAAGGATTGAACGGCGATTACTGCTGTCGTTGAAATGAAAGAGGTGTATGTGAACTTGTGCAGGTGCAGGATGATGATGAACATGGAGGTTATTCCTACTACTGCATCTACTTAGTCGTATAACTTCGTATAATGTATGCTATGGCTCAACTTCGAAATAAGAGCGAACCACTCACAAACCCTTCCGTTCATATGAGCATTTTGTACGCTGGTGAACTAAACGGGGGAGGGGACAACGTGGCGAAGCTCACCCCACCAGCAGCAATCCAGGATGGGGGGGGGGGGCTTCAGAGCGTCTGAAGCATTTCGTTCGCGCGAGTAGGGGATCAAGCATGTGTTAAAATTGAAATATTTGAAGTGGTTTTGAAAAAAGTTGGATAGTTCGCGCCACGATGTCCCCTCCTTGTACAGTAGCATCGAATTTTGTACACAAGGCGAAGGGCGAGCAACGCTCAGATGACCTCTGACATTGAAGGAATCTAAAAAGTGACATTATCGAAATGCCGTCCGCCGGTAGTTCCGCGTCTAGCCCCTCCCCTTTTCTGTATCTCTTACGAGCATCTAGTAGCGATTCAACGGACCCAAAGATTTAGTGCGCCACTTAATTTCGCTTTTCACTAACTCAGATCTAATTCACATTAAAGGCAACGATTATGATAGCTTTTAGAGGAGAAGGGAATAGGGGGAAGTGGGGTGCTCAGCGGTAGCCAATGGCGGAAAATGCAGAGAAATTCGTTAAGAAAGCACGAAAAGGGGACCCACTTGTTTGACCGCTGACCTTCGGTCAAAGACGGGCAGAAGCTAAGACGGCGGGCGTATAGACGAGTTTACTACACTTTTTACTACATTTTTGGTGGCATCATGCTAATCCATGCTTCAACAGAGTTACTCCAGTTGTGTCGCTGCTGGGAACACAGCTCGTCCAAATCGCCCTAAACGAGTGGGTGGATCGCTTTTTGGGGGGGGGGGGTTTCGAGGTCCCGCTTAACTCGCACTTTTCGTGATGAAAGCACTCGCTACCTTGAAGAGTAGCCCTTACATTAGTACCACTTCAGAATCGTGATCAAACCCTGAAGTTTTCTGGTTGCTTTTCCACCCTACACTTTTTTCGCGAACCACTGAGCAAAACGTCGTTAAAGGAAGCGATTACGATAAAGAGGGAGCGCATCGGGGAAGCATATGCACCACACGAATCAGTTACTTGGCTGCCAGGGAAGCGAGATGTGGCGCTTTCACAACGAAAGGTGCGCTGGTTGCTGAGCAGGACTTCGAAAGCGCTCCGCCCCAAAAGCGATCCGCCCACTAGTTTACTTGTGATTTGGACGAGCTGCGTGCCAGCAGCGGCAACTGGAGCATCTCGATTAAAGCGTGGTTTGGCATGGTGCCACCAAACGCGTTGCGGTGAACTCGTTCATACGTCCACTTTCTGAGCTGTTACCTGTTCATGAGTGAAAACCAACGGCCAAAAAGGGGTCCCGTTTTGCGTTTTCTTGACGGATTTTTCTGCTTTTTTCGCCACTGGCGTACCATTGAGCACCACCACGTCACACTAAACCCTTCTTGAATTTATCGTAATCGCTGCCTTTATCGAAGCGGTTGGGGTGCGCTTTCATTAGTGCTTCCGTGATTCGAAACAGGCAGTAAGGCAAACTTGTAAATGTTGTACAGTAAAACCCCGATGGAGAAATTTTCACCAAAACAAGTTTATCAACGTTACGAAAGCGTGAAGCATAACACTACACTGAACGTTTGTATTTCTATCCAATTTGGTAACAGTAGATTGGACTCGATAAGACCCTATCATTTGAGGTCAGGCTGAATTTTGATTGACATTTTCAGCTCCTGGATGAGATTCTACATCCTTCTCAACAAATACACTATCTTTCAATTAACCCGAAAGTTCGTGATCAAAACACGGAGGGAATCAAGCGTGTCGATCGATAATGAATTAAAAATTGAAGGCGAACACAGTAAGAGTGCCTCATCTCCAACCGTGGTTTAAAGGAGATTCCCACAATAAAGTCGGAGAGGGGAGGGAAGGAAATAAAATCCGTAAGAAGGCAGGCGGGACCCCCAAGGGCGCAGGACGATAAGCGCCTCGCGGAGGAGGACACGCGCTCTTGTGGCGGTGCCCGCCTACCGACTGGCTAGCCCCTCGCCGTCGAACTCTAACCGAGGACTCCGCGGCTTCAGCTATATGCAGACCAGAGCGCTCACACTGATGAAGCTAGCACCGATGAGACTCGGTGCAATGTGGAAATCAATAGGCCAGATGAGGTCCCAGTTCGTCATTAACTCTAAGCCGTTTTTGGTGCTTTTCTTCATCTGCATCACTGACCGCTTCTACCTTGTTTTCTGACAAGCTCTTTTCACCTCCGCCTTCGTTCTTTTTCAGGTGCCATTAAATGCAGCTCATCTTGTTTTGTTGCGTTCCTTTGTAAGCAGTCTTATCTCTAGCACTGGCTATACTGCAGACTTCGATCTGGTCTCGTGAACCAGCTGATAAGGGAGAAAATTGCAATATTCACGTGGAAAATCTTTCGAGCTGGGAATTCGGGCAGTGGGCTGGCTCTGTCGCGTTGCGACAATGCTTTTTCAATGGCAGTACTTAAGCTAGCCTCCCCTATAAGAATAAATATAGAGAAATATTCAAATCTATCATAGTGAACTCACCTCTGGGGAGACAATGTGGCCTTCAAGACGTTTTAGAATCAGTTGTACACTTTCTGTCGATGGTGCATGAAGCTTCAGCTGACCACGCTAAAATACCGTCATTATAGCACACACTTCAACACTATAAGGCCGCGTTCATAGTTCGCGACTCCGGAGATTAGGATAGTACGCGACAATGAAAAACATATGTATTGACGGGGAGATTAGGATAGTAGTAGATTAGGATAGTGCGCTGACAAGATTAGATATGTATTGATCTATTCGCTTGAAGTCGCCCAATCTACTACTCTCCAGCGATTTCAATCGATACGTATCCAATCTTGTCAGCGCAATCTCCTACTCTACTACTATCCTAATATCCTGTCGCCTACTATCCTAATCTCCCGAGTCGCGAACTATGAACGCGGCCTAAGTGCTTTTCAACTTTTCCTACTTATCACTAGAATCACTTGTGAGAACGAATTGCTATCGACCAAAAGACCAATCACTTTGTAACTACGATTGCCCTTAAAATCGATACCACTTTCATCACAACACATTCCAGAGACAGTATAGGAGCACGTCGATACAAAAACGATCTCAAATTTTGTTTTGGGAAAATGATTTCTGAAACAAAATTCAACTAACTCCTTTGTTTTGCTGCGCTCTTGCCTCGGTGTTTATCCATTCCAACAGTGGATCGTGGACGAATGTTTGAATAACCTATGCGAAATCAAATTGGGGAAGCAGAGTAGACAAGCACCAATATTAGGCGTATGAACGTACTGTTAGTAATGTGTCCTTATTATCTCTCATCACCCGTAACGTTGCTTCGCAAGATCTTCGGAAAGAGCCCTCAACACCGGTTGGACCGAATCCGTTCACCATATTCCGCGTTAGCCGGAACGGTACCACCTAAAATGACAAATTTTTGAAATGAAATGGCGGGAAGGATTCCTTTTACAGAAGTCCGGCGAAAATTTGAACGCGTAGCAGTCCCCCAGTTTTCGGATTGTTTACCAAAACGAATGCAATTTTTTTATTTATATTTATCTAAGTATGACATACACATAATTACAGTTGTAGTCTACTTTTTTATTCATTTTAAAGTTCAGAAAGCAGAAGAAGTTCAAAAAAATCACCACTAACAAACTCATCACTAAAAGTTAACGAGTGACCGTAGAGGGAATCAATAAATGGATAGGAAGGTAAAAACCGCTCTACAATCGGTATGTTTTGCTAAATTCGTTCATTAGCCGAATCAGTTCACAGAACGCTAAGCGGATATATAGATCAACCTCTCAACGCGAAGGATCCCCAAAAATATTTTTGCAAAAGATGGTGTGATTTGCGATGGGCACGAAAGCCTCAGGATCAGTAAGGGCCAAAGTGTTGCAGCATAATTGCTTCGTCAAAGAACCAGCCATGACTGGAAAGGGCAACCACGAAACGACTTTCGCGTTACGGATGACTAAAACCAAAACATTGCATCGGCCGGGAATCGAACCCGGGCCGCCCGCGTGGCAGGCGAGCATTCTACCACTGAACCACCGATGCTCGTTCTCAACCCGCTAGGTCTTTCTGATAATTGACGCGGAATGAATTGGTCAATTGTATGAAAAATAGCAGCGAATACACGAGCACACTGATTCGAAAAGTAGGCTGAATTCTAGCCCATAAATTCAAAGTGAATTTTTTGTAAGTATCGCAGTGTGATCAGAACAGCGACTGACTGGAAAGGGATCGTGGAAGCAATAAATAAGGTCAATGCCCCGTTTTCGTAACTTCCACAAAAAATATGGTAATAACCAAGCCGAACTGATCGACCCCAAATAGGCAGGGACCAAGGGAGTTGCCGTTAAGCGGAAATCGCCAAACATTGCTCTGAAAAAGCGCACAGACAGTGCCAGTACATAATGGTCAGGTTAGTGTTTATGTCAATCTTTGGTATTCTAGCCCTTCCTAAATTTGTTGTAACCAGTTTTATTAGCTAACAAATAAAGACCCTACCTCACGAACAGGCAAATACTCATCCTTTTCATTGGAAATGAGATTGAAATCAACATGACCCACGCCTCCCTCCATGACGTCAATCAAAATGTTCTCACCATGCCGGTCGCCTGAAACTGTTCTGTTAAAACCTGAGTAAAGCGAGGAAGCAAAACGGTCGGAGAGAGGATTAACCGTGCGTTGCGTAGTTCCTCGGGAGAGGGTCCTATTTAATATTTTAGAGGGGGTCTTATTTAGGGTATGTGAGGACGAAATGTTTGAAAAAAAGGGAGAGTTGTCGTATTTGTGGAAGTGAATGAGCCATGGCGGTAGCAGAATAGTTGTCCTAAACGTCTTTTTTGTGAAATTTCGAGGGAAATTTAAAAGCATTCCCATCTCCCCCTATCCTCACCGGACGTTTTGAAAGGGAAAAGTGGGCGGAAATGTGGCGTAAGTGGCCGAATTGTCTCAGAATCAAAAGCATACTATAGAAACAGCCACGATGACTGAGATCAGGTGGCTCGAGAGGGTGGGTCGTATTGAGGGAATCTTCCTAACGCTGGAGTATGCTGGAGAGTCGTTTCGAGGACTCGAAATGGTAATAAAATTTTGAAATTTTCTGCGCAGCACACGGGTAACTCTGGTTGGAGGTGGTGGGTTCACTTTCACGTCCCACTTTTGGTAGTACTGCTTACATTACAAAGGTGTCCCATTATCAATGGAGCGGATACGGAGCAGAACGAAGCAGCGATGTCTACAGAGATAAGACCGGATCTCATTCACCCATGCACGGCTTCGACATTAATTAGGTGGAGGAAGTCTGTCGGGATGGCAGTAATACATTTCTAACCATCACCTATTTCATGACTCATTGTGCGGTTGGGCATACTTTCAAATGAGTCGACGAACTAGGAAGGAAATCAGGTGCATGGCGCATCACATCAGGTGCGATCATCGCTGTTCTTTTTATCCTCCATGTTTCTATCATCCTTGGCCTGCCTATCCCTACGCTTCAGGCTTTTCAATCAATTCGTTTGGGTTTACCCCGTATCGAGGGTTTGTTTGATTTCTGACATGACCTTTCTTTCGCGACCTATCCCGTTTACGACCATCAAAGTGTGCCCGACCTTTGAATGAGAATTTCCCACGTATTACTCGACTCCGAGCGATAATTTCACGGTTCTTCGAAGAGCGCCAGGGTTCCTGCCTTATAAACTATGAAGGACACCTCTATAACTGCTGGGGCATCCATTGATAATGAAAACTGAATTATTTAGCCTGCACCCTTCACTGGAAAACATCAATTCTTGAGCCGGCGCCACGAAAGCACCCAGACCCGATCAAAAACCTTCAGAAAAAGCATTTTATAGTCGTGATCGGATGCTGCAAACACCGCTATAAAACCAAGGGCGGAATCACTGCGGTCGGTTGAATAGTCGTCGCTAGCAGAGTTGTTCGATACTGAATCCTTTGGAAGCAATTTAAACTTATAAGCTCTCCTTACCTAATCCTAGAACAAATCCTATCATTGACATGACAGCGCACGACCGAGCGAACCCCAATCGAGCCGCATACCAAACTGACGGGTCCGGGAATTGGCGCCTAAAAAATATACTTTGCCATTTACACCAGTTCGGGTCCTGTGCTCCTTGCCATCGGACCCCAAGCTTATCTATTCCTTCGAATGTTGAATAAATAAAATAAATTAATATATTTATGAGAATAAATATAAGCTTTTGATTAGAAATTATGCAAACTGCAATTCTTGGAGCACAAACCCAATCACGATGACTCAATTCGCGAGCAAACGGGATCAGAAACAAAAAATGTGGTGGGAAATTTACAGCAAAGGCGACTGGCGAGGAGTGGGAAAGCAAGTGAAAACAATCAACAGAAAAATACAGCTACACGAAGAAAGATACACGATGAAGAAAGAAGCGAATACAGAAGAGTAGTTAAAAGCAGTAAAAGACCTAAAGGCACATTCCACTAGATGTGAATTATGAAATGGAACAAAAAACAAGTAAAAAGCGCTAGAATCGTACTGCGAGTCTATCGTAGGAGGGGTTTACGCTCACCCTTGAAAACTGCAACTGTTTTACGGCCTGCGGATAGTCAAGTATTGTAGAAGGATGGGATAGACCAGTCAGACTTCCTGACACGTCGAGGGTAAACCTCCCCCACATGATCAGCGCGCATTGTGATTTGAAAGTGTCAACAGTCTTTTCCTTCTTCCATTACAAAGGTGCTTCATCATAATTCTTTCTTTAAACACAAAAAAAAAACTATTAAAGGATAAAGCATTTGCCGTTGATCAATCCCTTTTGGGATGCGGCACGCATTCTACTTCCATTTGTACATTCGCAGTGGTTTGAATGCGATGTGGCCTATACAATGACTTGCGGGGCCAGCCGATGTACAAGTCAGTGTTTTTATCCTCCCAGACAAGTCTGGTACCAATTAACCGACCCCGGAGGGATGGAAGGCTTGGTTGGCCCGGGCGACTCACGACCCAGGATTTGATCCCGGGACCGCTCGCGTGGTAAGCGTGCCACTTGCCACTACACCACTTCCGCACAAAAACAAACTATTGGGTTGTGGAATAAACCTTTAAAAGCGGAAATAAATAGTCAAAGAACTTAGAAGAGCGTCCACTAAGGAAGACTGCGCAGGATTGCATATCAGAGAAACGGGAGGGACTCGGAGAGGATAATGGTCA